TGAATTCTGCTTCATTAGGTATTTTTCTCTTGCATGTTGTTGATCTATGGGTAGATGTAGATATATTTCTTTCATGCAGTAACAGCATTTCATCAGTCCTATTGAAGGGTGTAACATCAAGGATCTTTGTAAGGCAAATGACATTTTGACATTCTAATTTTAGCTATCCCTTTCAATGTATCTGGCTGAGAGACAGAAAGGGCTCTTCAGGAATGGCAGAAAGATAAGTAACTCCACTGAAAATAAGTATATAACACTGATTAAAAGATTATGAACTTATATTTCAAGATTACCAATAAGATTGTGTAACTACTCACTTTGTGTTTTGCTCAGATTCATCCTCATTTCTGACAGATTTCCCTTGGTTTCAGCTGAAATGCCCATCAGTTCAGGGAAGCTCTCCATAATGGCTGTTGTCAAATGGCAGCTGTTATCATTTGCACTTTGTTATACAAATTTATCATCTCCATCAGTTCATAATAAGCCTGACTGATGCCATGAAACCCTATAATGCCAGCAACAATAATTGTCATTCTACTTGGATGTTGTAGAAGAGAGATTAAGGATTTAATGTTTACATTTTAAATGAAATAGTCTCTCACCATTATGGGTGGTCTCCTTCAGTTACAGTATAGTAACACTGCCCAACTCCACTGCCTGAACTAAACGTGAAAAAAAAATATCCTCAGTGCTGTCACCCTTTAAATGTTCTAAGTTGAATATGCACATAGTGCATACATTAATCAAAATAAATTTCAACTTCCCTCTTTTATTTTTGGTTTTGCCCTCAATTTTATTGGACTGGCTAACTCTATGTAATAAACATAACTATTTTATTTAACCAGGGGAAATGAGTGGGAACAAGTTCCGACTGACAATGGCTCTCTGCTGGAACCCAGAGAAGCAAATGCAAGCAATGCAGTAAGGAAGATCAAACTTGTTACACTGCTGATATTCTAAGAGTTTGAACTCGGACTCCCTGCTGACCTCAATTTTACAATGATAATCATTTCCTAAAATGTCTTCATTTTGTAAATGAAGCTGTACCTCCCTCTGAAGCAGGGGTTTGCAAAGATTAAATAATTTACATTTCAAAGGCTTCATTTTTTTGCCAGTGTGAGAAATACTCAAGCAGGAAAATGAGTGCTCCTTTTAATTTTTGAAAGCTGGGAGAGCATTCATAGTGAAAATAATCACAGCCTATTACAGCAGCCTTGCTTGCCCATTCCCACTTCAAAAGGATGAGCCTATCTTTTCCCCGCCCAGCAGTGAATGACCACTTAAAGGAGTGATGGCTTATTAATACTATGACTCAGCCACTTCTCGATAAGGAGAACAATGAGGGGTCAAAGCTTGAGCATCCCTTACAGGAATTAATGAGAACATGTTGCTGGTAATTTGGTCTTTTGGAGATTACATTTAAATTAAAAGGTTCTTATGTCAGGCTTAATGGTGAGACTGGTGTTGTCACTATTTGAAATTCAGAGACTGCATTTTTGTCCTTTCTACCTGTATAATTTCATTGACTTTATCAAAGTTGCCTTGGGGCCTGGATACCATTTAAAGAACAAAATCAGAGAAACTGGCAAAACAAAACCTTAAGGAAGTTCTTCAGAAGTAACCGCCCAAAAAACTGCACACATTTTCTTGGGCCTAGTGTTGTTTTCAGTGTCAGGATATATAATTACAAAAACAATTAAATGCACATATCTGAGATGTGTTGCATTAACATTTCTGCATAAGACCTGGAACCAATTCATTGCCAAAGAATGTTTATTCTGAAATTGTGTGAAAAACAATTTACTAGGCAGTGTTTGTGCAAATGTGGGGGCCTTTTCTTTGGTTCCTCATCCTTCTTTCCATTAAAGACTTAGCACTTGGGATGTCTGGTTTTATTCTTAACTTTTGTTTTTATATTTTGTAATCAATATTGAAACTGTTGTTAACAAAGGCATGAAGCATAATGGTAGGATCAAAGCTGCTTCAAGAAGTTAAATTGCTTATATTGTTGCATGTTGTTAACTTCAGAAAAAAAAAATCCAACCTACAGTTTTTCTATTATCTGTTACTTGAAGTTATGAAAATACTGCATTTAGCATCATTTCTGACCTGAAACTAATGCAAAGATGGATTCTAGGTGGGATTACAAATATAAACCAGCATTCGTTGTGCTAATTAATACATTGTGTGCTAACTAATGCGCATTGCATTTTCAAGGAACTTTGAAAAGGTGGAAATCAACTATTTATAAACATTTCAGATGTAATTCTAAGGGAAACTAACAATTCAGCTGTTTTCTCATTGTGCAATAGTATTTAAAATATAGAAAATTAAACAAATTATTATAAAAATAGGGAAGTCAAAAACATGAGAATTGTTGTGGACTTGATATGGGTTTTTTTTCTGATGTATCTAGAAGTCATATAATAATTTTCCTTTTTTAATCTTTTTATCTATACTAAGATGATCTTACTCTATCTGATGGAGAATTACAAATCCTAAAAGATGTAAAACTGATACCATGCTATAAGAAAAGCAAATATGATTGTTCCTAGATTAGTTGAAAAACTTATGAAGTATTAATGGAAAAATATTCACCTGCAATTCCAATCCACAGTTAAGATTATCAGTTCCATGCAAAAAATATTTAGATTTGCCCTGGAAAATAAAAGAACAGGTTCCAGTGCAACTATACAAAGTGTTGAATAAAGTCACAATCAGTCTTCCTTATCAGGCATTAGTTCAAATTGTGTGTGATTCTTGGGGAAATAAAATGTCATTTTGAGCAACAGCATCACCAGATTAGGAATGCAGAAGGTGGAGAGAGGCTAAGTCCTTATGGTAGTATCATGAGAACAAATGGCACAATGGGAAAGACAAGGGACTCCTTCCCTTGTCTTTAAAGATGCCTCAAAAATATTTTTAAAAATATGTACTGCAAGTGAGCTCTTTTTGTATCTTGCTCCCCTGTTTTTCAGTGAAACAGGGTTTCTGGGTGGCTGAGATTGTTTCTGTTTCACCAGGCTGAGAAGATCCCTTGATTTTGTGGTCACCTTTGCTGACATCTGTGGGATGTTCAAAATGCACTTGTTGGGTGCTTACAGGGACTGGGTAATTCACTTTTCAGGGCACCTCTATGCCTTCCAGGCCCTTAAGGTATCAGAAGCCTTCCAGATCCTTTATCGTGACCCTTGCTGGGGCCCCAGTGTTGTGTTTGTCCTTTATTTGGCCAGTTAACCATTGATTGCTCTGAGTCTGCTCATGATGCTGTAGCCTTGTACATATTGCTCTTGCCAGAGGCGATGAAACTCGTCCCTTTTGGAGATACAGAATGTGACTACTCTTTAATCAGGAGAATATTTCATGGCTTGGAGTCTGGAACTGCCTCTCTTTGCTATGCAATAACTTTATAAAAGAATGTGATCCAGAGCAATGAGGAGGAGTTGTAAAGAGAGAGAATGAGTGGAGAGCCCAGCTTGGCTGGTGCCAAGGAGAGGGGCTGGCAGCCCCCAGCCCTGGGCACTGGGAAGCTGGAGCTGCCTGGAACTGCTGCCAGCCAGAGCCTCCCTGGGGGTGGCTGGCTTGATGCAGGGCACTCTTGTTTTGTGACTAGTGACTGACTTATTGTTCCTGAGAAGAGTGGCAACAAGCCAAGTAAAAGCCCTTTTTGTCCTTTACTCCCAACAGGGGACTTGGTAATGGTTTGTCATGTGGCTGGGCATAATCCAGGCAAAGTCCCCATATGCAATTAAAATAGATTTTGCTACTGTATGTGTTTCTTAGGAAGTGGCACTCCAAGTTACGGGTACTGCTCATTCTTTTATTTAATGTTTTTGTCTGATTTCAATGCTTCATTTTCTTGGGGATTGTTTTTTTGTCTTTTAATCAATACTCATTTTTCAGTATCAGCACTCCTTTAAATAATGCCCTAGTTTGCATGTTACATAAAAGAGATATTATTTATAAACAGTAATGTCTATGAGTAGCCATCTCTCCTTAATGTAAATTCCAATATATGTCATGATCAAAAATCTCCAAAATATAGGTTGAACATTTAATAAAATTATTAATAGCACTTAAATCTCACAAATATGTTATATCCCTTTTGAACTGTACTCACAGTAGTCTGTCATCATTTTTTATGTCCTCATAGCCTTAGGCTTTTATTTGTAATTTTAAAGATTATTATAATTATTCACTTTTAACATACTTGAATGTAATAGACCTAATGGTACTAGAAAATCAATCTTGGTTGTTTCTCGTAGCTGTTGTGCAGTTTTTTGCCATTTTCCACAGTTTGAATACTGTAGAGTACAGCTATCTTAGATGATCATGATAGATACATGGCAGGCAGAGTCTCACAATTATTCACATTGAGTAGTAGTTCTCCAATAGATTATTTCTATGAAATTCAGTGAACGTTACGGGAAACAACAATGCACTTTAGCTACCTTTTCTCGTGATAAATCTATGTTTTGTAAGGCAATATTAAGAATCATTTGAGAAAAAAAATGTCTTTTGACAAAAAATATAATCTTCTTAAAAACAGAAAGGTTCATACAACACTCTGAAGTTATAAAAACAGAACTTTTTGAGGAAAAACAAAAGATAATGGCATCCAGATTATGGTGATTAGTCTCATGGAGATGCGTCTGCACTAGAATATGAAATGTTGGGATGATGCCCTCCTATGTGAAAGCACATTTTGAATTTCAGCTCCAGTAAATGGTTCTACAGTACTGTAGAAATATTTCTCCAATAATTCTAAGTTATCTCTGCATAACTGTAGAAATTCTACATTAAAATCTTAATAGGAGTCATTGAGAGAATTGATTCAGAAGGTGTCTAGGAGGGGGTTAGAATATTCACTGAGAATCTGCAAGGGAGGAGGATGCTGTAACATCTCTATGACTGATTAGGCCCTATTAGATACTTGTTTTTTTCATCAAAACCTTAAACCATTCCATTTTCTCTTGTGCAGGTGTAAGGGCAGAACTGATTGCATGCGATACACAGCGGATAAGAGGAAAGTGGCACTCAATTCTGTCTTCTAAAGAGTATCCCAATTGTAAGTATCCTCAGTAGTTATTTATTTCTTGCATTTTTAATAGATCAAGTAGCCTTGCTGTGTAATACCATTGCTATGCACCTGATGCAAGGTAGTGGAAGAGGTATCACTTATTCTGTGGGGAGAACACTCTGGATCTTATCCAGATTGCTTAACAGAACACTTTCATTAATGAAACAGTGCTGGCCATTACAAAGTCAGCTGTATTCATGTTTTAATTACTGTGACTCTCAAATTCGTCGTGTTTATTCAGGACTGGGTCTTTCCTAATGATATTAGAAGTAGCATAGCTCCCAAAAGCATGTCTTAGCATTTCTCTTATGAGTAACTCTGAAACACTCAAACACTTGCTCTTTATTTAGTTTTACATCTTGGAGGTCCCAGCTGAAATATCTAACAGGGAAACATCTGGGAGTGGTTTATTGATGAAATGTGTGTAGTCTAGATGGTAGTGCACTCTTGCCAGTTTCAGTGGGAGTCCCAGTCTGACCTGGGGCTCTCTGCAAGTGCCCCATGAAGTGCTCTGAGAGCAAGGCCCAGCACAAAGTGGAATAATTTAGGCCCACTTGCCTATGTAAAATTCCTGCACAAATGATTATATTTCTCTTGATGCAAAGAGAAATGCAACATACTCTCAGTTGTCATTGATAGTGAACCTTCTTCTGGAACACACAAGAGTTTGATTGTGGGACATTTAGTCCAGGTGGAATTTCTCCAACTAGCTGGAGTTAAATTGTTGCCAGGGTTGTGTCCTGTACGTAAATAGAGGTCCTGCTGGAGACTTTATTCAGAAATTTTTATTTTTATTTTTAAACAAATGGCATTTCTGAGAAATTGTGTAAAATGTTTCAAGATAAAAGAATGTTAAATATAGCTAGAAATAAGAGAGCCATATGTTTTGAAACCATGCACTTAACCCTGGAACTCAACAAGATTTCACATTTTAAATATAAAATTTAACTTCCTGGAAAGATAAAGTTCATTCATCTTGAGGGTAGCCTGGAAAAAAATTAGGGAAACATGATCCATGAAGAAGCCCTTCACTAAGATGAGTATCTTTGACATTTGGGAAAAAGAAATAATATAATGTGTAAAAATAAGATGGGTCATACACATTCCTAGAAAAACCCCTTTGTTATAGTTGTACATTAAAGTAGGAGTAGGGTTATTTTCTGAGTGGTTTTTTTGGCTAACAAGTACAGTATCTTACAAAACCATTGCCAGAAACATAAAATCTTTGTTCAATGGGAAAGAAATGCACCAATTTAGCACTCCTATTTGAAACATTATGCAGAACACAGGCTGTTCTAAGTTCAATGCAAGTATTACGTAAATATACTATTAAAAGTTTGGTCTACTAGAAGAAATTTATCTGGTTGGTTCTAAATCATATTGATAAATGTCAACATTTGTGTTTAACACAATATACACATTTGTGCAACCATCATCTCTGTTCAATGAAATTGATTTTATTGCTTGCACAAACGAGGATGAGCTTTCATCCTGGAAAATGTTTTCCAGTAACACAAGGGCAGATCAGGAAATGTGTAAATTGGATCAGTGCCCAAAATACTAAGTTATACATTTATTCTTGGAAAAACATGAAGGCATGTTGTCGTAAAACGAAAGGCATAAATTACAGAATATTAAGTTCATTTGGACCAGCATATTGAGCTACACCATCAATACAAATCCTCAGTGTGTCACACTGCACCATGAAGGGTCTGTTTTGAAGGTAGCTACCTGGATATACACACGATGGGAGCAGTGAGTGCCAGTGGAACAGAGTTGTCAGCTTCCCCAGGGATTTTGCTGATTTCCACAGGGGGCTCCATGAATAGTGTCTGTGTCAGCACAAGAGGGTGTTTAATGTTCACTGGAGTTTGCTTTCTTCTAAGAGGCATTCAAGTTCTTGCCATTTTGCAATGCATTGGAAAATGTTCTCTAGGCTGAAATCTTACAGGTGCCATTGGCTGTGCCCAAATTTCCCAGCAGGTGCTCCTTGAGGCCCTGGTCCATGGCCCCACCACAGCTCTGCCTGCTCAAAGGCCTCTCTCGCCTTCTTTAGGGCCCTCCAGATGTGTGTGCAGCCTGCTCAGACCCCGAGAGATGCATTTGGTGTCCAGCCCTTCAGCTGTGCCCAATAAAACCCTCTGAGTTTACATTCCTTTTCCAAGGACGCCCATGGCTGAGCTGCTGACACGCTGACAGTGCCTGCACACAAACTATTCTGAGGTCCTTTTAGAAATCAGGTTTAGCTTTCCCCAATTGTCTTGGCCCTCCATAAACCCCAGTAAAGGGGGAAACAGAGGAGAAACAGCACGTGGTGCCATTGGTGACAGCCTCTGAGAAACAGGGAAAATTTAGGGTACAACAATCTTCAGTGAAACCTGCCCACCTATTTAGTATCATAAATGCCTTTTGGAACAGTGCCATGTTCATTTTACACCTTGAGAGAATCAAACATACCTTTGCTTGTCTCATTAAAAGAAAAAGTAATATTTTTAATAATATCCAAAGCATTTGTTTCAAACTGCTGGAGAATCACTGATAAAATAAATGCAATGTGTTTATATGATGAATGCCTTCTCTAGATGCTGCCTTACCTTCTGATGATTGAGTCTAACCCTCTTTAACTACTTTGACAAGATTATTGCCTGAAGTAACTTTTTTAATTAGCATTCTTGTTTGTTTATGTCTAGAGATTGAGGGGGAAAATAGCTAAAAGCTTTGGAACAACTATTGAGTCTGCACTTGCTCTAAGCTGGAAGAAAATAATTTTTAGTATATGTTTAAAATTATATAACACGTTTCAGATGTGGGTTCAAATTACTGTTAAAATGACATTCAAATCTGGGAGTGTTTCTCACTGGCTTTATCCTTTTAAAAATTTCCACTGTGCTTTTTTTCATCTTTAATTAAATTTCAATTCATTTTATAATAGTAATTAAAGTATTTACAGCAAGAAATTCTATCCATTTGCAAAACGGCAATAAATTGTAACATTTTCACAAACAAACAAACTTCTTAGAAGGCTTGCAAAGCCTTTATCCTGCATTTGTACGGTATTGAAGGGTAGATTATCAGCTGGTATAAGTCACTGTCATTCACTGGAGTCAGAATAGTAATTTTGATTTACAACAGTTTAGAATTTAGCCAATAATGTAATTAATATAATCAAAACCATATACAGACACCAGAATAAACAATACCAAACTGTAAGGCAAGTAACCTATCTTACAATGAAAATAAAATAAATGTCCCAGGCTTCTTAAATCACTGTTTCATTACGTAACTTTGCTTTCTATCATCTTTGATCTCCTTCATTTCATTAGAGCAAACTTCTTGTTGGAGGCATGACTGTCTTCCTATGAAACTGATCTGACATTCAGCCCTGATATCTAATGACTTGTTCCAGTTTCATCTTTAAGTCTTTTTATACAGCACTTAAAAAAAAAATAAACACAAATTATTACATCATCAGCAGAGGAACATATGGGCCATCCAAAAGTGAGTACACAATAAATATGTTTCTAATAAATACTTTGGTGCTGAGTAAATTTCAGAAGAGAGCAGACAATAAACCACCATTCTGCTGTTAATGCCTTCTCTTAGCATGGTAGCAGTTATTACATTAGTTTAATCATAGCCAAGCAGTTGAGGTGCAGTAGCACTGCTCATTACCCCAGCCATTATCATCTCCCTGTTACCTTGGGCTTTCCTCATCTGTTTTGTGTTCACTGTATCACTCACATGCATGGCTTGCAAGCTCTCTTATGTTGTATAAAAAATGAGTGTATTTACATTTGACAACAGGGATCTGATATATGATTATGGCCTTCAAGTTTTTTTCAAGAATAAATACAGATTACAGTAGTTTCAGGGCAATGGGGGGAAAATCATTTAGCCTCAGGATAGAACATTCTGTAAAAATTCTACCTTGTTCAGCTTGCATTGATTCACAGCTGTGTAGAGAAACACAACAGAGAAAGCTTAGAAGAACATGGCTACTACAAACCATTTTTGGCAATTGATGTCTCCAAAGTAAATCCTACAATGTTATTTTCATGAAGTGATGTCAGTTTATTTGTGGTGTTTGTGAATTCTGAGTACTGGGACAAATTAGGACATTTTCAGTGGGTTCCCTTATCAATAACAAAAGTAATGGATAATAAAAGGAATGGCATTTTGACAAAATCTGTATTTAGGGACAGATTCTTATACATGGAGTCTGGGCAGATGAGGCTGCTGCAAGTACACTGTCCCATTACAGCTTTCTAACTAAAGATCAGCTGCAGGAAACAGTAAATTCAAAGCAGTGATGACAATATTAAAACTTTCCAGGGAAAAAGGAGAGCACTGGAGATAAGGATGCAAATATTCTAGTAGAAGAAATAGCACTAAATGCTTATGGTGACTCCAAGGCATTGTGCAACTATTCACAGTGGGCTGTAGATGGGAATATGAAAAAGATGAGTGTTCTAACATCAAGGGGTATGAATGACAAACAGATGCTAAACAGACAAATGAGCTATGGCTGAAGGAGGCCAGTGCTGTTGTATGCTGAGGGAAGAGAGAGGAGAGGAAGAGGTGGATAAAAAAAATATAGCCCCAGAGAAAGCTGAAAACCATGCTGAGAAGTAGTCTGGAGAAGATCACAGGAAACAGCTTATGGAATTAAAAACATTTGGGAAATTACAGCACTTAGGAGGAATTAAATATAAGAAAGTAATGGTCATCTATGGAAATAGAAACTTCAAAAAGGAAGGACTGCAGCACAGAACCTGTAGGAGAAGAGCTAGAAAATCAGTAGATATGATCTCAGCATGAATAAAGAGGGTCATGCTAAGGACCTCATGCAGCAGATCAGTCTCTGGGAAGACCTTTCATGAACAGTTAACAAGAGACTTTGGCAAGAGAGAGCGAGGAAATGTCTGAGAGACAGGAATATCTGACTGAAGTGATGGTCTTACATCAGTCCCATCATGACTGGGAAGAATGTGTATCAGATATAAATAGCAGCTTAATTTATTTCAAGTGGATGTAACTTGTTTTTCACTGATACATCTTATTCTTAATTTGTTAAAGATGCTGAGATTATATAGAGAATTATAAGCATAATTTACAAAGTAATGTAAATTTACATTTGCAGTTAAGTAAGAGAAGTACTAAAGGAAGAGATGTACTAAAATTGTGCAAATGTATTTTTTATTTTCCTGATGAATTAACCATATTGAAAGTATTATTTTCAGACTCAAACACCCATGTAAGCCAGTGGAAATATTTGTCCTGTGTTTAGATTTAAGAAATGGACCCAAGCATAGATAAGAAAATGAGTTCATAATGAGAACAGATGCTGCAGAGACAAAAGAGATCTTTAAAAATTGTATATGGCTTAATCCCATAGCCATTTTCTGTGTATTTGGAGTTTAGCTTTTAAAAGTATTTGAGAATTGTTCTGCTCAGCAGTGCAACGTGGCTGATGCAGAGGCTGCAGAACCAATGCTCACCTCCGTGCCTGTGGCAATCAGCTGTCTTTGCCTGGATGTTTGCCTAACCCTTCCTGTACCAAACTTGACATGAAGCTTCATGGGAAACCAATTTTCATCTCATTTCCTTTGTGCCAAAATCTCTGAAGAGCAGACCATGGGAATTAAGTTCCAGAATCTCATTGAATGGGACCGGGATTAGGGACCTTGGTACCCAATTTTAAGGGTTTATTATCTCCTTATGAACAAAACTTGCTTGTTACTTTATTAAAAGTTTTGTAAGACAATCCCAAAGTTCCTTAGACTAATGTAGAGTAATCTCAGTAAAAGACAATTTTTCCTTTCAAAATTATTTAGAAGGTAGCCAAAATATGTTAAAATTACTTTAGGAGAAGTTCCAGCTCCTTCATATACTGAGCAAAAGAGGTGAAGCTACTGGAGGAAAGGAGGAATGACCAGCTGTGCTTTGAGAATGCCAGTTCATTCAAACCACGGGGGGCACAAGGAAGGAAGCTGAAATTGTGGGTTCTGTGAATGATGGTCCAAGTGTGCCCAAGAGCAGAATCTCAAATTCTTAGTGAAAACCATTTTTTGGGTATGTATATGTTTGAGCTTCTCCATGCCTCTGAGTATGAGTACCAAGAGAGAACTTCTGACTTTTGGTTTTGTACATTCTTGTGTGAGACTTTGAGTTGTCTCACCACAACAGCTTGTTTTAAAGTTAAAATATCACCAAATGCTTCTGTGATCATAGTAATGGATGCATTTTTCAGTTATATTGTAGAATGGCTGTGCAAACTGACCATCAGTGTGATATACATGACTGAATTCAAGAAATGTAACAAACCTCAGAGTAATGAGAAAATTTGTGAATAAATAGAAAATCTCTTGAGCTGAGTCCCATGAGTCTCCATTTTGGAGACCAAAAGTGTAGCAAGTTTGTCAGGAAGGCTCTTACAGTCATTGATTAGAAATTGACCTAGATATAGTTCTGCAACTGTACGCACAGTTTGGAAATGTGTATTAAATGCAGTTGATAGTGGAAGTAGTAGCTCAGGACAGGAAAGAGAGAAGAAACCAGAGTCAAAGGTTGCTCCAAATTCCATATGGCAACAACAAGCATGAGCAAGCTAAGATTACCTCACCAACAGAAGTCTCAAGTGTTGAATGCAAAGTTAGAGCCCCAAAATTAGCTTTTTCCTCATTCACTTTTGCAGAAATTTAGTAACTGCAACTCCAACTGCAGCTGGAGAGCAAGAGGAAATGAAACATTTCTCAGAAAATGCAAAGGTAAGGTGCATGCGTGTTAATCAGGCAGTGTTTAAATCCTCCTCCTTTGTTCTCCCCTGTCCACTTTCCCAAATTAGAAGGGTACCCTCAGTGTTCTGGCAGCAGGAATATTCAAAAGAGAAGTATAACTGCTTTTCTTAGAAGTTCAGCCAAGTTAAGTGCATCCAGAGCCCTCAGAAAGCAGCACCTACCTACCCTAAAAAGCTGAAGGTTGTTTTACTCCCAGAAGAGCAAAGTATTCCACCTCATGTTTCTTCAGGATTTTTCTAAAACTATTGCTACTTACAGCTTTGCTTCTGGGTAATAAAATCTCATTACAGTCCTTTTGCCTTCATAATTCAGAAACTGAAATGAAAACTTGGTCTCTAGGACTTCTACTGGTTGTGCTGAGCTTGTGGCTCTTTTCTAATCTTAAAGATGTCCTCAAGCCAGCAATACTTAACTAAAATTCTCTACATGTTCCAGTTTTGGGAGACCTAGAAGTCATCTTGACCTGGAGCTCTAGAACTGTGAACAATCTTATCATTAGTTCACCTGCAAAACCATCGGATATTTCCAGGCAGAGAATACAAGTCTCCATGGGCCAGCAAAGTGGCAAATGGTATAATATCATAATTACATCAGCATAATACAATCCCATTGTGTTCCTGGGTAACCCTTTTAATTCTGAGTGCCTCAAGGTTCACACTAAATTTTTGTGCAGCTCAATTCCCCATTGATAATATAATTTTTACAAGTTTTACAGAAAGGTTCTTATGTTCTATATACTTAAATAGAAAATAAGTAAATAATGAGCATTTTGAAGCCTTTTGAATGCATCTTATTGTGGTAACTGCATTTAATTATGATATTTTTCTGTATGTATTTAATATTATTTAAATTCTCTGTGGTGATGGGGTCTGTGCATGTGATACAGAAGTTTCTAAAAGTAGCTGTCATTGTGATCCATTAGAGTCTATCTAATGCAATATCTATCCCATAAAGTCAGGGATTCATGAGATTACAAAATAATTATTAAGATAATAGTGTAAAAAATGGACAAAACCAAATTATGTATCATTAGCTTTGATAAATTTTTGTTACATAAAATTAGGTTTTGAAGTCGAAATTTACTAGGTTGAACATATAAGTATCTGTTCTGAAAAATTATATTTTGTCATATTAAAAATATTTTTCTTACAGCACTGGCTACAAGTGTCTTTTACTATCTCATATGGTTTCTAGTACTATGTAAATTCATAGCTCAGAGGAATGGTGTAATTCCATATAATGAGTTGCATGATATACTGAGCCAGTTTTAATGTATCTTAGTTTGAGAGGGGATTTTATTACTTTTCCCAAATATTATTTTGTTGTTTCAACATTACCATAAAACCTCATTCAGATAACTCTAAATATCTTCTTTAAAGCTTACACAGGCACCAGAGCTGAGGGGGTACAGACACAATGCAATCCTTAACTCACCCCTATTGTGCAGAAACAGAACAGGAGCCTCAAAGCTGCTGGGGGTCTTACATATCTCATATGTGCTGGAACAATGAAACAAATTATGAACAGGGCTTAAGGCTCAACTCTGAATTCTTGCCTTTGTGAGTTTGTGTCTCATGCATGGAGAGCAGTGATTTTGCAAGGTACTCTGAGATGTGGCCTGTCTGTCTGTGAATAGAACCAGATGGATTATTTTCTGAAGTTTGACATTCGGACAGGGATCTCTCCTTCTTTGGTCTGGCATTTTTATTAAGTCTGCACATGGAGGTTTTATATATTAATTCATTCATTTCAATAATAATGTATTTATACTGATAAAAGCATAATTGCTAGTCTCACACACTGCAATGCTGTTCTTGCTCTGCTTTAAAATGTGCTAGGGTAAAAAATGCAATTACTCTAATGCACAGAATCTAAACCCACCCAATTTTAGGCTGTGCTGAAGAAATGATTATAAGGTCAAAGATGCACATTCAGATTTCACAGATAACATCTGAAGTGGTAGCTAGCTTTACAGAATGTTTCAAATGTGTTGAATTGGCCAGCCAAAGAACTCCTTGGCTGATATCATGACAAAAGATGTGTGAGTGTTCAGGGCCCCAGAGCCCAGCAGTGAGGCACAGCCAGGTTACACAGATGCCATTCAGCTGAATCTGCTTTTGGATAACCTCCGTGCGTTTCCTCCAAGAGGAAAATACGATTCAGTGTCGCAACCAAAGATTTTTGCTGTTCAGAAAACAAATGCTGTATTAAGTTTAATTACTTCAGCCACCTACTGATGATCTGAAAAATCTTTTAACAAACCAAGAGTTCTCAGCTTGGCTGTTGCCTTGGCCGCAGGACCTTTCACTGTACAGCTGTGGGGAAGTGCAGCAATAACAGTTTAGATTATTCTTTTGGCAGGTCATGAAACAGTTTCTCTTTACCCTCCTACCTTAAATTTTGATTTGGTGTCACTATGAGATTTATCAAGATTAATCTGCATCTGCCAATACAGAGAAGTGAACAGAGGGGGAAGATGTCATTACAAAAAAGAAAGTCAATAATTATGGGCCAAATCCTGCTTTGACTGAAGTGACAGAAATGGCATGACTTTCAACAGCCTTAATAGTTGCAAATCACTGACAGTAAAACCTTATAAAATTTTATTTCTATTCATAAGATTGTTCACAGTTCATATATGTATGATGCAAAACAAACTTGGAAAATCCTTACCGTACTTTATAGGAATGGCACTTTTTCAGACTACTGTGAGGAAAACATGGTATATGTAAAAGTATTCAGTTAGGGGTATAGGTCATACAGGAATGCCACATCTTGGCATAAGCATCAGCTACTGGATGCTGTTCTTCCAAAACTCAGTGCTATGTCTTCTCTTCACAGTCCTGTGACTCTGAAATGCAAAAGTTTCTCAGAAGGTAAAAAATCAGAGTGGGTAACTTGACCCTTCCTCTTTCTGAAGTAGAAAGATTGAACGTAAAGTGGTTTTTTGATCCTTGAAATTTATTGAGTGTGAATCTTAAAGGCACCGTAGCAGCTTTCCTAAGAAGTAGGTGCAGGATACCTGTGTGTGGCTTAGGGAGCTCTCCTTCACTGTCTTCTTTCAATGTGCTTTATTCACAGGGGTGGAACCCACTCAGCAACTTTCAGACAGCAAGGTTTGTACAGTGGGATGCTGTTAACTGGACAATTAGATAATTTTCCATTTTTAGAATAGCTACTGCATTTCAGAAAAGCAGAGGGAAGCTCTTGTAGTTTTGTTTTGGTTACAGCTACACGACAACGTTTTCTCAGCTCCTCAATAGAGCTCGGTTTCTTACAAGAGGAAAAATCACTGGCCTGTTCACAAAAAAAATGTCTTTGGTCTCAAGGCTTATGTATTCACTGTGGAGGTTGGACTGTGCTCCAGCAAACAGAATTAATCAGCAAGTCATTGCCTTCCAGAAGTAATGTGTAACACCTTGTTTTGTTCCTTGGTTCAAAAGGCACTGTCACTGTTGTACACCAGTGTGGTTTTTTTAAAGGCTATAATTCATATGCAAACTAAGCAGGGATTCATGATTTCATAATAAAATGTTGAAACGCTTTGATCATGAGCTGGAAGGAGGTGTGAAACAGTGCTTCAGAAACAGACAGATATTTGTGTAATCAGCCTTTATGTATTGCCAGTTCAGAATAATAACATATAAAAAGCCCCAACTTACCTCATCTGCCTGGTACAGCCAAGGCATAAATAAAAGAGAACAATGGAATTACTATTACTCACTCACTGAGCCCAGCTACATCACTGTATTCTTTATAATTGCTGGCAAGAAGATTAATGTTTTGTTAAATATCAGAGTAAGGTCACAAGGGGGCTTGCAGGACTGTCTAAACATCTAGGTTTTAAACTCCTTCCTTCTTTCCTTCTTTTTTTCTTTTTTCTATTTTTTTTTAACTTTAATTTCACAGAGATGAACTTTCACCATTTCCTTTAATTATTGTGACTTTTACGTTTTTGCATTTGAAAACTTTTGACAACACAAAAATAAACAAGGACAACAATTGCTGTATGGCTGATAAAGCTTAATCACCATATTGATGGTAAGGGGTTTAGTGTGTTAGAAATAGTTCTATTTCATTTTGCCTCTCACGTCTGTTTTTTCATGTCTGTTTGTTCTGTATCTAAATTGGGATTTTTTTCCCCTCATTTTATTAATGCTAGTTATCCTAAATTGCAATTTATTTGCTCTTTCTAAATGTCTGTTAACTATTAGCTTGTGAATACAATGACAACACAGTTGAAGTGAAGAGCTCATAGCTTTGCAGATTGAGGAGATTTCCACCTTCTGCATCTTCAGGTATGTATGTTAACTCCAATTTCAGATCTTTTGCAGCAAACAAGTGTTGAAATCTTCTCTTTGTACAGATAAAACCTTATGGTTACCAGTTTCCCCTGTCATTCTATAGAAATAGTCATAAAAATATTGCATCATAAATTAACTGATTTTTTTTTTGAGAAAGTAAAATATCTGATCCATATGGTAAAACAGCTTTAGTTAGAAATAAATGTTCACATAAGAGATTTCTGGTAAATATAAACACAGTTGTTTCTGGTGAAGGAGCAAAGAAATTATATAGTCATCTTAATCTCTTGTTTAGACTACTGCCAGTCATTTGCAAAATGCAAATATCTTCCTCATTTGGCTCAGATTATCCTCCAAATTACACAGGAGCAGTCTGGGCAGCAGCAGCCAGTCTCACACCAGAATGGTGAATGTGTTTTCCAGGCCAGCCCCAGCCCCAGCCATGGCAGAAAGTCTCTCCAAAGATAAAGATCTGGAGGTGCTCCTGGGGCCAGCTCAAGGACCTGGGCGCCCCAGGACCACAATGTGCCCCTCTCTCCCTCCCACACTCAGAGGGCTCCTTTAAAAATTATGTCATTAGAGTCTATTTGTGGTTTTTAGTGGAACAGGTCTTGTCCTCAAAGAGAGGCAATTTTATGTGGTATTACTGATTTTATGAATGATATCTTCAGTTATCTAATATTAAACGAAAGGAAAGACTTCAAATATGGGCAGCAGTGGTGAAAGTCATATATTTAAATCCTACCACTTTGCACAGAATTAGCAGTGCTGCCAAAAAGCAGAATAAGCAGTCTGCAATACCTCAACAGCTCTGACTGGCTTCAGAAAAAAAGGTTTAGAAATATGAGCAAAAGGAAATAACAGATCCAAGAACTCCTGCTCTTGGTCCAGTTTAATCTATGACTCTTGGAAAAGTATTTTATTCTGTCTTACTCAGTTTGCCTGTTAGAAATGAGAAATAATGAAAAATCTCTTCCTGTTTTCTTAGAGGTCAGTCATGAAAACACTGTGTGATTAATTATATACCAATAGGTTTTAGAGTGGTGTTATAAGAATCCTATTCTCTACATTCTTCAATGTGGAACTGTGAAAATTAGCTGTAGAAAAATAAAATTTGAGTCCTAGGTTGACTAATACTGAAAATACCCTTCAATTTCATCATTTCTTGTTATCACAATTAGATATACTAAGCTTTATTACCACATCATTGAAAAATTACTGCAGTTTTTCCCTTTTTTGACAATTCACTGAAATTTTAAGGACAAGGAAAGGAGCATAGGAGTGTTGGGGAATAGAATTTGTTAAAATTATTTTTAAAATTAAAATAAGTAGTAAAACAACTTGTGATTCATTTAATTTGTAAGAATTCTTTATGAGCCATCACAATCGTGTGAACTAATTACTCCATAATTTCAATTTGTAGCTCTGCCCTGGAGACATGAAGCTATTCCCTTTTGTATCAGCCAAAGACCTGGTGCAGTTTTCTTTTCTTAGCAACTAGTGTAGGGAAAAGTATGGCCTGGAAGACTTGGCAGTCTAATTTTGGTAAAGAAAAATTACTAAATATCAATAAATAATTGTTAAATCTTTCCCCTCTGACATTGCAGCCTCAGAAGGACTTGCAAAAAGCCAGAGTATCCAATGATTGTCACATTCTTGTTTTTGTACATATTAATACCTTTTATAAGTCCTTAACCTGAACAGTCATTTAGCTTTTTAAGTTGTAATGTGTTATATCTTTAATAAATAACTTCTGGTGTTGTTTCTTCCGCCTTATCTTTCTCCTCTGTCCAAGCTTTAGCACCAAGTGTGGTTGATACCAGGTTCTCTGCAGAGAAGTTTGCACTGCAAGTTTGCACTCTGCTATTGCAATAGCATGTTCACCCACATGTTTTTGATATGGTTTATCTAAAGAGGGGAGCTGCAGCCCAAGCCTTTGGAAGGAAAATAAATGAAGTTGGAAAACAGTTAGAGGGAGCAGGTCCAGTTCTTCAGTTTTTCTTAGTGCCAGAAACTGAGAGTTTGACAAGTTTTTTACTTTCAAAATGTTCAGCTCAGTACCACAAATCTCAAATAAGGGGTTTCTTACAGCTTTCTCTGTCAGAGATGATACCAGTGAGATTTACTCACCAACTCTTGTCAGACCAGGTCACATAAGTCTTAAAGTAACCTTTGTTCACTTGCATACACTTGATCAAGAAGCTCATCTGTCCAAAGTCCTTTATCTTTCCTCACATCACATTTCCTTCCTTGTGCATGCTGCTTTGGTGATGTTTCTGTAACAGCCAGGTCACTGAAATTGTTAATGAGGTTTGAAGAGGCAGAACCTAGGTTTTGCCAAAATTCAGGGTGGTTTTGAATTAAGCCAAAACTGTGGACAATCAGCTGAGACCTACAACCCTGAGTTATTGCAGCTCTTTTAGTCCTGGCTCTTATCCAGCTAACTCCTTAACCCCAACACTAGGAAATATGCTTCTTAACTATCCTCAGTGGCTCTTTAACACAGTGTGGATAAATTTCTTCTCCAGTTCCTCTGGAGAGGCAGGAGGCAAAGCACTCTGCCATTGTCACATCCCTGAGCTAAGGGTCCCTGAAGGGCAGCTTCAGTCCCTCACACAGCAGATTGGAATCAAATAACGAGCAACCCTGAGCAAAACCAAATTTTAGCTTTTTGTCTTTTATACAGTCAAGATCAAAAAAAGAAGTTGGTAACCAAGTCAGGGATGGAATTTATTTTTCCAGACTCAGTTTCTCATTATGCGTATTAACAAAATGTTTTCATTGCACATGTAAAAACTGAAATTATTGTTGTTCAGTTGTGAGATTATTTCCATTGGTTGCATTGAAAGTATTTGCATGGTCATAGAATAAAAGTATTAATCAGTGAAATTAAACAAAACAGAGCAGAACATCTTTAATATAGACAATCCTTTATAATTTATGTAGAGAGAAGATGCAGCATTTGTATATGTAGCAGGATGTATGGTGTGCAGAGGAGAAAGATAAGGTGGAAGAAACAACACCAGAAGTTATTTATTAAAGATATAACACATTAAAACTTAAAAAGCTAAATGACTGTTCAGGTTAAGGACTTATAAAAGGTATTAATATGTACAAAAACAAGAATGTGAAATTAATTAGTCTTTCTTTGAAGGAGAATTTACCAAAGACTGGAGTTCTTGTGACTTATGTTGGGAAGCAATGGGAAAGAGTAGTTCTGCTCATTTGTTGATCCATTCAGCTGAACTTGGTGTAGTTGTTTGTAACCTTGTTATTTCAGACAGATGTGATGTCATCTCTCACTGCTCCCATCCAGCCTCTCTCTGCTGCAGTTAAGTTAAACCACAGGAAAAGAGCAGCACAGAAGAGTTCCATAATTGAAAATAGGTGCATTTTTCAGTTGAACATTCCTGCAATTTGGGACTGAAACCAAAAGTGAATATGCAGCTTTGCTCCTGGGAGAACAAGAATGGGAATTTTTCTCTAACTGTGCAGTTCAAGTCAGTGATCATATTTTAATAGAGACCATCTCTCCATTATTTCTTCTAAGTACAACAATGTCACTGTATCAACTTCTTTCCACAGGTGACATGTAAGTAAATAAGATATTACATGTCTAGAAGAGGGGAAGACACTATAAATATCAAAGGTAAGAATGAGAAAACTCAGAAATACAATGTGCCACTGATAGACTTCAGGATAGAATCTTCCAGCAGAAAACATCTTTTTAATCAGAAGACCACACTGTTTTCTGGGATTCTGTTTTGCCAATAATTTTGGGTAGCTGTTGAAGTGTATTAGTAAA